TGCAGGAGATATGAATTTGCTTCTTAATCGACTAGTGACAGATCCAAAAGGTATGTATTATCTTCACTATGGTGATAACACAAGGATGCAACTTATCTATGTTGTGCTCACTGATGGCAATTATACGACATGGAGTCGTGCGGTCATCATGGCACTGAGTGTTAAAAATAAGGAAGGTTTCATTGATGGATGAATTGAAAAACCGCACCAAGATAGTCCCATTTACAGTGCTTGGAGGAGGTGCAATCATGTGGTTTTATCTTGGATCATTAATTCCATCCCAAAGGAGCTTTATCTAAGTGTGATGCACAAGGATTCTGCAAGGGAGATCTGGATAGAGCTTGGAGATCGCTACAGTCAGGGGAATGGTCCTCGTATTTATGAATTAAATAAGTACATTGCTTCAATTTCACAGGCAAATAGCTCAGTCAGCTCTTATTTCAATTGATTCAAAGGACTTTGGGAAGAGTTAGATAATTATAGACCAAATGTTAATGGCATTGATTACAAGCATGAAGATCAGATTATGCAATTTCTCGTGGGGCATCATTTTTCTGGTGTTAGAAGCCAGATCTTTTTTATGGATCCACTACCTTCACTTAATAAGGTGTTTGCACAAATACTACAAGATAAAAGACAGAAGGAAGTTGTTGCTAAGAAGCAACAAAGTTTTGATGTAGCAGCTTTTGCAAGCAAAATGATGCACGGACCCATTAGCAATTAAAGATCAATTTCACTCAACCAGCCTCAGAAGAAGGAAAGACCTATATGCAATTATTGTAGAATGCTTGGACATATCAAAGGAAAATGTTACAAGCTAATAGGCTATCCTCCTGGTCGTAGACTTGCAAAAGGGAAAACACCAGTAGCTAATGCAGTTGGACAGATCACTCATGGTAGCAAGTCAGATGTGATGAGCTCTCTCTCGAGTCTTACCATTACTCCTGATCAATGTCAACAGATTCGGGCTATGTTGATGCCAAAATTGCAAGCACAATTATCAATTTGTAATTAACAAACTCAAGAGGTGTCATCCATTTCACCTGCAGTAGTTGATGTGTTTGCTTTCTTTGGTAATCATATTAATTCCAATGTTAATCAACTAGAAATAGATAGATTATCGACAAGGAGCTTTAGAACACATGGTTTGTTCTATTGATAATTTAAGTACTGTGACTGCAACTATTAAGGCATATGTGAGGTTACCTAATAGAGATATGGCTGCCATGACACATGTTGGGACAGTGAAGTTATCGATACTTTATGTTTAACTAATGTGCTACTTGTACCAAGTTTCAAATTAAATTTGATAACTGCTAGCAAATTGGTCCTTAAACATCGTTGCTTCCTAATATTAATACACAATTTATGTTATCATTCAGGATCTTTTGACATAGAGGATGATTAGGTAGGCAAACTTGAGGATGGTCTATATCATTTCCAACAAACTGAGCATTCAAACAATGGCCAACTTTCCCTTAACTCTCTTCAACTCATACCACCTTCTGATGTCAATTCCAGTAGCAATTCTGCAAATCCATCTAATGCTGGTCATCATTTCTTTTCTTATCTTCAATGTAATAAAACAGGTTATCCTGCTTGTAGCTTTGTGAGCAATGTTAATACCAATACTGACATTCACATTGACATTGACATTTGGCATTTTCGTTTAGGTCATGTTCATGTTTCCAAATTATCAGTCTTACGTAAATTTGTTCATGCTATTAAATTTAATAAGCACCTACATTGCACTATATGTCCTATGTCCAAACAACATAGATTGCCTTTTCCACACAGGGAGACAAAAGCTTCGAAGATGTTTGACATCATTCACTATGATATCTGGGGACCCTATTATGTCCCTTGCTTGGATGGTTCTAAGTATTTCCTCACCATCATTGATGATTTTAGTCGAATGACTTGGACATATTTCATGAGAGAAAAGTCTCAAACTAGACCTTTTATTCAAGCCTTCTTTCACCTCATTCAAACTCACTTTCAATGCAATATAAAAATCCTCCGATCTGATAATAGATTAGAACTTTCCATGACTAAATTCTATAACTCCAAAAGGATTATACATCAGACTAGCTGTGTAGAAACACCATAGCAAAATGGTGTGGTTAAAAGGAAACATCAACACATACTTAATGTTGCTAGGGCCATTAAGTTTCAGGCCAATTTACCTCACAAATTTGGGGGCATTGCATCTTAACTGCCACACATCTTCTTAATAGAATACCTACCTCATTTCTTGATGACAAGTCTCCCTATGAGATACTTTATCAGTTCAAGCCATCATATACTCATTTTAGAGTCTTTGGATGTTTGTTTTATGCTTCTACTCCCAAATGAAATCACACCAAGTTTGATCCTAGGGCCATACCTTGCATTTTTCTTGGATATCCTTATGGAATGAAAGCATACAAATTGTATAAACTTCAAACAAACACAACATTCAATTCCAGGGATGTCTATTTCAATAAAAAGATATTCCTTTTTTATCATCCTGCTCTCCTCAATTCTCTGTCAAAGTCCATTGTTCCTTCACAAGGTAATCCTCTTTTGTTTCCAACACAGGCAAATTCATATCATGATGACATTTTTCCAAATTTAGAGCTGTTACTTTTCCATCTGATCTTTCATCAAATTCCAGTACCTCTACTGAAGGAAACTCTTCTGCCTTCACTCAACCAATACCCTCTACTCCACCACATATCATACCTGTTCGGAAGTCCAGCATGCCTAAAAGACCTCCTTTTTATCTGTTTGACTATCATTGCAATCTTATATCTCAAGTGCCTATCCCTCAATCATAATCTATGGGAAAAGGTCTTATATCAAGGAAACAATATTCCATTTCAGATTACTTGGATTATATCATGTTGTCACCTGCACAAAAGCAATATACTCTAGCTTTATCCAGTATGTATGAACCTCAGTCCTATGGTGAAGCTTCTCAATGTCTAGATTGGTACCAAGCCATGGATTTAGAGTATCAAGCTCTTGTTTCTAACAACACTTGGATTGTGACAAACCTCCCTGCCCACAAGAAACTTGTAGCTTATAAGTGGGTCTTCAAAGTCAAGCTTAACTTAGGTGGCACTGAGGAAAGAATAAAAGGCTCGTCATGTAGCCAAGTAATTCACTCAACAAGTTGGTCTTGACTAGGAAGAAACCTTTTCTTATGTTGCTAAATTGGTAACTGTCAACTCTTCTAGCAGTGGCATCTCAAAGACAATGGCATCTTCACCAGCTTGACAATAACAATGCTTTTCTCCATGGTGAATTGGATAAGGAGGTGTACATGTTAATTCCCCCGAGTTATGAGCAGTAGGGAGAGAATGGAAAGCCACTGGTATGCAAATTGAATAAGTCAATTTATGGACTCAAGCAAGCTTCAAGGCAGTGGAATACCAAACTTACTTCGTATATTATCTCACAGAATTTTAAACAATCAAAGGCTGATTATTCCTTATTCAGTAAACATGATGGATGCTCATTCACCGTACTCCTCATCTATGTGGATGATATTATCATAGGTGGAAATGATCTGCCATATATTGAACAATTCAAAAGGCAATTGAATGACCAGTTCAGGTTGAAGGATTTAGGGATTCTGAAATATTTTCTGGGCATTGAAGTGCTAAGGACTTCAAAAGGTATATCTATATGCCAAAGAAAATATGCATTGGAAATACTGGAAGAAGCAGGGTACCTTGGAGCCAAACCAGCAACTAGTCATTTACCACAAAACTTGAAGTTGAGCAAGGATGATGGGGAAATAATTGTGGATGCAAGTATATACTGAAGGCTAGTGGGAAGAATCCTATACTTAACAATAACGAGACCTGATCTCTTATTTGCTGTACAAATTCTCTGTCAGTTCCTTCAATCACCAAAGCAACCTTACTTAGAAACGGCACATCATGTGTTGAGATATTTAAAAGGAACTCTGGACATGGTCTATTCTTTGAAAGCAAACTAGATTTACATCTTAAAGGGTACTGTGATGCAGATTGGACAGCATGTTCAGACACGGGGAGGTCGATAACTGGATATTGCATTTATTTAGGAAGTTCATTGATATCCTGGAAATCTGAGAAACAACATACAATTTCAAGATCCTCAGTTGAAGCGGAGTATCGTTCTATGACAGCAGCAGTCTGTGAATTAAGTTGGTTAAAAAATGAATTACATGAATTAAGCGTTTTACACACCAGGGCAGCCTCGTTATTTTGTGATAATCAATCTGCTATTCATATAGCCAGTAATCCAGTGTTTCATGAGATAACAAAACACATTGAAATTGAATGTCATCTTGTTAGGGATAAAGTGCAAGCAGGAAAGGTAAAGATGTTGCACACGGCCTCATAGGAACAAGTGGCTGACTTACTAACAAAACCTTTAGAGGGAGCTTGATTCAAATGGTTATTGTGCAAGATGGGATTGTTAAACATACATTCTCTATCTTGAGGGGGAGTATTGTGATACACATATATAGGCAAAGGCTATTTATGTAATTGTGCTTTTCCATTCTGTTAGATTAGTTGAATTAGCTAGTAGGATTTTCTTGTATATATAGGAGCTGATAGCATCCATTTTTTACAATGAAGAAAACATAATTTCCCGCCTCTTCCTCTCTTCTTTCTCTCTAGAATTCTCTCCAACTTGTAAGATTCTCTTTCAAATAGACCCTGAAAGGAGAAGGCACTATACATTACAATAGGCAATTTCAACTCTCTTTTTACAACGGTAATTGTATGAACAGGAATGATGCCTCGACCATAATATCAGAGACGTGCTCTGCTGTGCTAATAGATTGAAAAAGAATTACATTACATAACCAAAATTTCTGATTGTGCAATTTTTACGTCATAATGGTTCTTAGAGTCTCGAGTTTGTATAGAGAAGCTCGTGGCAATGAAAATACAGTATAAATGTAAATTAAAAAAAAAATGTGAACTTTATGTGGCTTCCATCCTTGAATGGATAAATAATCATATATCAAAAGTTGGAACCTCAGAATCAAAACCATGTATTGCCTGGTAACTTAAACGGGCAAAAATATTCCGATATGGATCGTTTTCTCTTTTATCCATCAAATAAGCTATGCATCTTTCAACCTCATTTTTCACTTCTGAATACAACTCATCAGCTTTTTCTCTGCTTTTCAATTCCTGCTTCCTTTCTGCAACACAATTTAAAAGGTACATTAAATCCAAATGAATGTACTCGATCAGAACCTCAAAAAATTAAGAGAAATGAAGAATAGCACCTTCTGTCTCTATTGCCTTCCCAAATAAGAAATAAAAGCGGCCAGGAAGTTTGGGTAGAATTATTGGAAGGTGTACATCTTGGTTTGAGACCTCTCCTTCAGCATCGGTCCTGTGTTTATACATTCACGACCATATTTCAAAGTAATTTATATCAAAAGTCTGTGCAAAATTAGACTTGAGGTAATTATGCCAACTAGCTCTTCCAACTGTCTTTTGGAAAGTGGTAAAACATACTATTGTGACATCTTGCCAGAGTATAGGAAAAGAAATCTGCACAATTATTCAATTACCTCAACTTCACTGCCTCATCCGTTAACTTCTCTATACTGGCCTTGAAATACGGTATCTTGCTCAGGTCATCATAGTCCAAGAGTAACTGATGAAAAAAGAAAAAAATCCACTTCTTTATTAGAGAAGGACCTATACTAAAAGAATTTCACAAGAGTCCATATAAGCACATCTAGCATCAGTTGACGTGTAAATATGTAAGAAGAGTAAAACAAGAAACACAACAGATTCATCCAAATTCTTCAACTCAGTCCAGCAATATAAGCTCAGTTCCAAAATTAAAATTTATAATGTAACAATGTTGCAGAAATTTATTAACTTGCCAAACGTACTGTGATCCATTTGCATTAATCTTTCACAGTGCCATTATTTGTACTCCACTGTCATACGATCAAATTAATCTCATGGAGTTCACTTTTCACCAATTTCAGGGATCACGACTGTATACCGGATAATACACGTACATTTTCCTTACTTCAGAGAAAATTTCTGATTATGTTGACAGGATTTACATTTTCAAAAAGCTGAGACTTCTATTTGATTTAGTTACCATCTTAAGAATTCCTACTTAGAAGAGCAGCAGTGATTATACTGTAAAACATATAAGCTTCAGAGGAAGTCAAACTTCTCAGCTTACTTGACCAACATCATCTTCCCCGACAACACCAAAAGGTATAATTTTTGCTCCAAATCTCGCTGCCATCCTAACAAACTCTGATTGTTCTGGCCAGAACAACTTGTACTCCTCACCCTGAATGGTGCAAATAACTAATTATTTAGATCAGAGAAAATTAACACAACAAAGAAGAGATGAACAATGACAGCTGTGTATTTGAAGAAATGTACTTCAACATAGTAAAGCTAGAAAATTCATGAAAAATATTCCCAAATTTGATATATAAAATTTTCATTCTCGTTCTTCTACTCATTTTCAACCACACATTCTTCAATAAAATAATATTTTTCATCACATCAATAACTTTTCCTTCTTTTTCAACCACACAATCTCCATCATTCTACTATTCCAAAATACATTCTTTAAAATATTCCCAAATTTGATATATAAAATTTTCATTCTCGTTCTTCTACTCATTTTCAACCACACATTCTTCAATAAAATATTTTCCATCACATCAATAATTTTTCTTTCTTTTTCAATCACACATTCTCCATCAATCTACTATTTCAAAATACATTCTTCCAAGATAATACGGATCAAACACACCCATAATAAATATGTATATTATATATATACACACATGACAAGAATTCATCTGAAAAAATTATGGCCCATTACTTGGTCAAAAAATGTTCCTGGTAAAATTTCAAACAAGCAAGCCGTGACAAGATGATTTATGCTTCCACAGGCTAGCAGCAGATAGCACACACTTGCATAGGATATATGGTTATTGTAATTTTATCATCGAGTTACTGTAGAAGGGGTTATAATACTACACTTTACCTTCCGATGAAGAGCCTCCCGCATTCCTCCTGGATACAGCAGGACATGGGATTTCGATGAAAAAAGTTTATAGAAATTAGTTGCTGATACAGGAACCGCCCCCATCTTTCTGTACGTATCATAAGATGACAACTCTGGTAATAATCCATCCTTTAACTTGGTGAACATCATTGGATGTGCTATGCCTCTCACGAGAATATTTCTTTCAATCCAAAATCGGGATACCAGAGGGACTAGTTCAAATCCAAGCATCATGTGATAACCAACGAGCAATACTGGTCCTTCAGAAGGAATGCCTGCAAGTCCTCGCACAACTTTTCCACTTTCCAAGGTTGAGAGCATTACAGGATTCATGGCAACCTCAGTCCATCTGAAAACAATGGAGTAGGATTAATTAAAGATAGAATTAGAATTTTTTTTAAAAAGGCTAGAATGGTCTTTGACCGATTTACTGATAATGGAGCACACAGAAGAAACAAATATATATAAATTATACTCATGTTAGTAACTACAATCACCTGATTGTCCTCCATGAATACAAATTGACCGTTCAGAGAAAAATAAATTAGTATACCTCTACCAGCTTTGTTTACATTAAGGGGGTGTTTGACACCCATTTTTGTGAAAGAATGTGTTTTTGAATAGGGATAGATGGAAGAATATGTTATTAAAAAGTAAGGAGAATTTTTAGGTTTATGTGTAATATTATATTATTTGAAAGTGATGAAAAGTTTTTGATTTGTGTGTAATATTATTTTATTTGAAGAATGTGTGGTTGAAATGAAGAATGAGAATGAGAATGGAAATGAGAATGAGAAATTAATGGGTGCCAAACGGGGGCTTAATGATAAACTGCATACTTCCTCGTGAACCTAAATGAACTATAAAAGATAAATAAAAACAAACAGATATCCTATATGAACACCCTTTCCTGAAGGTGGTGCTGCGTGTGTGCATTAATGGAACCTTCAACCTTTATATGGTGTGACTAGTTCGGTCATTTAACAAGGAAAGATGGTCTGTCCTTCTTGAACTGATAAACTCCTAGGTTCAAAACAAAGATCCGGCTATTAAGGAAGGTTAAAAATCTTTAAATCATGGGTGCAGGATTCTTCGAAAAAGTGGGCTGACTTGGAGACCTGGGACCTTGGCTTAGCAATGAATGAAGGGAAGCTCAAAGAGCTTATGCTGCCGCTTTTGGCGTTAATGATAATAAGAATATCGCAGGCAAGAAAGAAACCTATATACTAGTGAATCGTCAGAAACATCAGTTACCTATGAGGTTCATAGATTTTTCTAAACTGAGAAGGGCTTGGTGGTAAATAATCAAAGACATAGTCACGGTGTCTTCTTCGGCGATAAAAACTGGCACCCATTAGGATTGTAACCAAATCGAATCCATCTTCCTGCAAATGAACAGACTTTCCATTCAGATCTGCAAATAAAAAATGCAATAGAAGGTGATAAAACTAAGTATATTAACTATTAATTTGTGACTAACAGCCTGTGTTCTCCCTATAAAATCAAGCCTGCAGAAACAGTAATTATCAGAAAACGGAAAAGAATCCTAGTCAATCTGTGGCATGGTAAAGAAGCCAGGTTGTACTTTATTTCTTTTGCTTCAATCATATAATGCCTTTGTGCTCTGCCTCTTGGATAACTATTCTATACATACTAGAAGCATAAAAAAATTGGATATTTAATATAATAATTGAATATGTCACGATTATTGCAACTGTCAGAAGTGATCTTCGCCAAAGTGGATTTTAGTTCCTAAACCTTTTCCAAACAGTACGTGTCATGAGTGGGGGGAGAGAGAGGTGCATCTGCATACCAAGAAGAGGGCATGACCACTGTCATTAAATGTGCGGATCTCGCAATTTGGCAACATTTGACGGAGTCTTTCACCTTCATCTCTACTTGGAAGTAACTGATCTTGTCCACTGCAACAGTAGAAATCCAGCCCCATGACATAGAAAGGTACTTGACAAAAATAGAAAATAACATGAAACAAATGTTTTAAGTTTTAATACTAAGAAGAAAACAAAAGGAACAAGGAGTTAAGTTGAGTTTCGCATTCAGCAGTCTCAAGCTGAATGGGGCCTGATAAGATATACTCAACCCAAGAAAAGCGGATAAAAACTTCATTGTAGAGAGAAAAGCTCAACTCAGTAGCTAAAGAGAAGTCAGCAAAAGACAGAATGTTTGTAAGAAAAATCAAATCAAACTATAGAGTCAAATCAGAAGGGCTGAACAGTTGGAGAACCTCGTAAGTATCAGTGTTTTAGCTTTGACAGCATGAAGACGTGAATTGGCAAATGCTGCAGCTGATTTGAGCATGTTCAGCTTCCAGTGAATCGTCTCTACGTTCAAAAGCTCAGCCAGGACCTGTGCCACTAATCATCATTTTCTTGAATACAATAGATGAGAATACCTAGAATTCTAGAACAAGTACAAAATTGCACCAGCTGAAATCTTAAAGAAACAAAGTCAACTTGATCTGAAAATGTACAGATCTTGCAATTACAAGGAATGAAACAACACTTCAGCAATGGAGAAACCAACACCATGATTATTTTACATTTAAGGCATGGGATAAAAGTGCATCACAGTCACGATGAGAAAAAGAAACTAGATGCTATGCTGAAGGCAGCAATGTATATGTCAAAAAAGTATTATTGAAGTCAGCATCCCTGTCTAGACATGTTAGAGTGCATTCATGATGACGAAAAGGCACTCTACATGATATATACAGTAAGGCATCAAACCATATGTCAAAAATGGTATCATTAATGTAACCAGCCAAGATCTATGCATAGACCTGTTAGAGTGAGACATTGCTTCATAACTTATTCTCTCAAATTTGAATCTTACAGAAAGATAAGACGAAAATGCTACAGCACCCTTGGATAGCTCTCCAACCGTTTGCTCCAAAGGAAGTCTTTTCTCCATGGTTGCCATCAGTAACGTTGATGGGAAACCTAATTATTGAAATGCCTTTTCAATAATAACATTTCAAGTAAACAAAAGTGTTCCGTGCTCTTCATCATCATAATTATTTTAAAATTACCTCTTTAGAAGTGAAGATTTGATTTATGTTTTGCATGAAAAGACAAAAATTTATCTATTCATCTTCAATGTCAATATCGTCAACTAATCTAAGATTCTAGAAACTGTTCATAGAAACAAGATCCTAACTATGCTACAAATTTGTAGTTTAAAGAAAAACCGGCACATTCATTTTCTGATCTAAATGAAGGGAAGATACTTTTAATAAAAGAAACTTATGTGCGCCAAAGATACAGCTTTTGTAGGACTTCATTAATATCCTTGTTCTTTTTGTTACCTAATTAACCTCCAAGCCCAATTTTAAGTTCCAATATGAGTTCTCCTATGGACATAACCCTTATTTCAAACTCCCTGTTACATAGCTCATTGTCTATTCTAAAATGCATTTAGATACTTACATATCAGAATGGAAAAGGAGAGATTAAATTTGTAGTCAAGAACCAGTAGACATTATACAAATGAATTTTATATCAACCCATGGTTAGACTATAGACAGCTTCATGAATGCATGACCACTTCAAGTTAAATTTTGGAAAGAGAAATTAAGGCAAGAAAACCTGTCATTAAACTCAGCATGTAAGGCAAGCCAGCACGGAGCTGCTCGGGCAGCATTACAGACAAAGGTATTAAAGTTTGAAGCTGTGATTTGCCGAAAGATGTAGCTGCACGAAGACATTGAATAGATGAAAATCAAACTCTCTTATGCACATACTACAGTAGTTTAGTACCTAACAAACACCAACCTGGATTAGCTAAAACAACTACAAGATCAATGTCCGGAGTACAGGCAGCCACAGCTAGTGCAAGACATCCCCCCAGAGATTCTCCAACAAGATATATTGGTCTATTTCGTGAACGGCAATACTCCGACCTAACTGTGCTTTCAACAAGCTTCACCAGGTCTGCATATTAAAGGGATATTTAGAAAAACTAGATTATCTTCTTATGTACTGCCTTAAAAAAGAATAGAAATATAAAGTTTCCATATATTATACTCAACACCACGGGAATATGCCAGCAAGGCAGGTTCCTTTTTAGAGAAAAAGAGAGACCTTTAAATGATGTTCGATCCATAACGGGAATATGCAAGCACCATATATCAAATATCCTTCATGTAACGAAAATAAAAAGGATTAGATGTCGCACGATAGCATATTATGAAAGACAAAGTGACATATTAATTACAGTTGTCAATAATTGACAATGGATATGATCGGAACTTAAATTCATCGAAACTTACTTTCCCAGTCTTTCATGATGCAAGGTAAGTCCAAGTCCAACACCGTCGATCCCTGTAAACTCCAAACAATATTTAATATTGCAAAATAGAAAATCAAAAATTGATTTGTAAGGTAATACTAATGAGTTCAATACAATCATTACAGAATGAATTACCATCAAACCCAGAAGTATTTACGATTAGTTTATTCCATTAAGAAATTACTGCTTATAGTGTTTAGTTCCAAATGAAAACATTAAAGAAATGAGTTAAAAAAACATAATTCATGGTGACATTTACAATTTATACATTCATTTCCCTTCGTTTTTGTGACATTCTACCGAAGTTGAAAATCTTCAAATTTGGTTTGGTTTTGACTTGAGAGAAAAGTGTGTAAATCCTTTTTTATCCTTCGCACTGTTGGAAAAAGGGACTTTGATAAGCTAAAACGTGCATTAACTATTACATACATGACTTATCAAAAAATATATTCAACCATCACATATGAAGAGATTAAGCATCCTAATTTAAATCTCCAAAATTTACAAACTATCATACTAGAATCCACTGAATCTTTAGCTAAATTTTATGTTAGTACCGAAGTGAAACATTTATTTAGCCCCAGTTTGCTGTGGCTTAAAAATGTTATAAAAATCCAAGTCAATGTTAAGAGTTAATATTAAGCACTTATTCCATGGAACCTTGACTTTTATCAATTTTTCAATCACACATTTTGTTAGAATTTAGGTATGATCCGAATTCCTTGTTGAAGTAATTGAAGAATTCAAATTTGGAATACTATTGGAGTCCTATATCAAGTTAAAGTTCTATTTTGGAAGCCCATTGTGAGTTGAAATTTGTTTTGGACTCAATTTTTGGTATCTTACTACATCAACAACTCTACTAAGAGAGTTTAGATGTCTCTTACATGTTTTTCCTATAAATATTAGGCTCTTCTATTCAATTTCATATGGCATAAGAAAATAGATTACTAGAATTATAAGATCTATTGTAATTTTTCTCTCTTCTCCATTATTATTGAGTCAATAAAATCTCTTAATTCATTTGTCATATTCTTATCTTTATTATTCTTTTACTTGATCATATACTTCATTATTATTTGGCGTATAATTTTAACATCTCAATCCGATAGTTTGTTTCACAACAATTAGTATCAGAGCAATTCTAATATCTTGGTTGTTTTATAACAATTGGTATCAGAACATCAGGTTCAGCAGTTCCGCAAGAGCGCAAGATTTGATTTGTTTGAGGTTTTTTATTCGTGATGATTTTCACGAAGTATAATATTCCGCTTTTGGATCGGAGCACTAGATTTTCACTATGGCAGGTTAAAATATGTGCAGTACTCGCACAGCTGGATTTGGATGATGTATTGCTGGGAATTGACAGGATGCCCCCAACTTTGACCGCGGAGGAGAAATTATAAAAGGATAAGAAGGCAGTTTCTCACATTCATCTTCACATATCAAATACTATTCTTCAGGACCTTTTGAAGGAGAATTCAGTAGCTGCTTTATGGTTGAGGTTGGAGCAATTGTGCATGACTAAAAGTCTGACAAGTAAGTTGAACCTCAAGCAGCGTTTATACTCTCATCGAATGGCAGAAGGAGGATCATTGGAAAATCATCTGACTGTATTTAAGGAGATCGTCGCTGATTTGAAAATTTTGGAAGTAGAACATGATGAAGAAGATTTGAACTTGATCCTATTGTGTTCATTGTCCGCTTCGTTTTCTTCATTTAGAGACACGATCTTGTATAGTCGTTATATTTTCACCTTAGAGGAAGTGTATGATGCTTTGTATTCAAAAGAGAAGATGAAGCATCTGGTTTCTGAAGCCAGAGATGGAAAATGCTGGGTTGCTCATGGTGGTTCTGGAATGGGCAGATCAAAATTTAATTTTAGTAATCAAATTTGTTAACTACTGCAAGAAGAAAGGGCATTTAAAGAAGGATTGCTACAAATTGCAGAATAAAGAAAGGATAGCTGCAAGTAGCTATTCAGATACTTCAGGCGAAGGTGACCTGGCCAGCCCCCACGGTCGCCCTTGCTGGGTCCGCCGAGAGCTTAAAGAAGACGTCGACGCCATTCGCCAAGAAAAAATGGAGAAGGCAGCCGATGAATTTTATTTTTTTTTTCCTTTCTTATTTTGTTTTAAGTGTTTGGGCCTTTCTAATTTGCAACTCATTAGCATGTGTGTTTCATATGTGTCCTAATCAGGACTTGTTTGCCACATATGAAACTGTTTTCAAAGGTGTCATGGTTATGGGAAACAACGCTTCTTGTCGGGTTGCTGGAATTGGTAACGTCAAATTGAATCTTTTGGATGGGGCAATTAGAACACTTGGCCAGGTTCGACATGTTCCAAGTTTGAAGAAAAATCACATCTCGTTGTCTATTCTTGATGCAAAAGGTTATGAGTCCTTTGGTGGAGGTGGAGCTTTGTAAGTGTGCCCAAGTTGTATTGGAGGGACAGAAAATGTCTCAATTATACATTTTGCAGGATCGTGCAGAATTTAGAAGAGTCATTCAGCACTTATTCAGGACCGTGGTGGACATTCAGTGGGCTCGGTTATACATATTGTAGGGTCGTGCAGAATTAAGAAGAGTCAATCAGCTCGAGTTCAGGACCGTGGTGGACATTCAGTTTGGTACAATACCTTTAGGAGCTCATAAATGGTCGGATTTGAAGAATACAGTTCAGTGGAGTTCGGGAGATATGGATAATGCCGCTTTTCCACCATCACATGCGATGCCATTGTATTCAATTGTTAGGGACGGGCTCAATGGAAAAAGGTTTGTGGATGCTGATTTTGTTGAGCATGCTTTAAGTGGAGTAAAAGGTGTACAGAGTAAAGGGCCTTTTTTAAAAGTATTTGGGTTTGATTCTACTTTGAGGTGTATTACAGCCCATTTTGGTAAATTACAAAATCATTATAATTTTTTGGAATCTGAAGTAATTCTGCAGAGTAGTGCTTAGATTCATTGGAAGATGTGGAGTATTTTGTATTTTGTTGGATAAATCAGTTTTGGCTATCGTTGAAGAGCAAGTTCATTCCTTGGTGGAATTCGTGTCAATATGGAGATTGTTAGAATTAAGGTATGACCCGAATTCCTAGTTGAAGTAATTGAAGAATTCTAATTGAAGTGCATGTCATGAAGAATTCAACAGTCCGAGTCCCCTTAGGGTCACTGGGGTGAGTATTCGGCCGTAAACTTCAGGGCCCCGTATGATTAGTTGAGGTGCGGGCAAGTTGGCCCAGATATCCACGGTTATAAAAAAAAATGAAGAATTCAAATTCGGAATACTATTGGAGTCCTATATCAAATTGACGTTCTATTTTGGAAACCTATTGGGAGTTGGAATTTGTTTTGGACTCAATTTTTGGTATCCTACTTTATCAACAATTCTACTAAAAGAGTTTAGATGTCCCTTATATGTTTCTTATAAATACTACGATCTTCTATACAATTTCACATGGTGTGAGAAAATAGATTACTAAAATTATAGGATCTATTGTAATTTTTCTCTCTTCTCCATTATTTTTCAGTCAATAAAATCTCTTAATTCCTCTGCCATATTTCTTGTCTTTATTATTCTTTTGTTTGATCATATATTTCTTACAGTCCATATTGGTTAATGCAAAATCATTGTGATTTTTTGGAATCTACGGTAATTCTGCAGAGTAGTGCTTAGATTCATTGGAAGATGTGGAGTATTTTGTTGGATAAATCAGTTTTGGCTATCGTTGAAGAGCAAGTTCATTCCTTGGTGGAATTCGTGTCAATATGGAGATTGTTAGAATTAAGGCATGACCCGAATTCCTAGTTGAAGTAATTGAAGAATTCTAATTGAAGTGCATGTTATGAAGAATTCAACAGTCCGAGTCCCCTTAGGGTCACTGGGGTGAGTATTCGGCCATAAACTTCAGGGCCCCGTATGATTAGTTGAGGTGCGGGCAAGTTGGCCCAGATATCCACGGTTATAAAAAAAAATGAAGAATTCAAATTCGGAATACTATTGGAGTCCTATATCAAGTTGACGTTCTATTTTGGAAACCTATTGGGAGTTGGAATTTGTTTTTGGACTCAATTTTTGGTATCCTACTTTATCAACAATTCTACTAAAAGAGTTTGGATGTCCCTTATATGTTTCTTATAAATACTACGATCTTCTATACAATTTCACATGGTGTGAAAAAATAGATTACTAAAATTATAGGATCTATTGTAATTTTTCTCTCTTCTCCATTATTTTTGAGTCAATAAAATCTCTTAATCATCTGCCATATTCTTGTCTTTATTATTCTTTTACTTGATTACTAAAAGAGTTTGGATGTCCCTTATATGTTTCTTATAAATACTACGATCTTCTATACAATTTCACATGGTGTGAAAAAATAGATTACTAAAATTATAGGATCTATTGTAATTTTTCTCTCTTCTCCATTATTCTTCAACCAATAAAATCTCTTAATTTCTTTGTCATATTCTTATCTTTATTATTCCTTTGTTTGATCGTATGTTTCATTATTATTTGCCATAAAACTTCAACATTTCAATCCGATAGTTTGTTTCACAATAATTAGTATCAGAGCAATTCTATTATCTTGATTGTTTTACAACACGTTTCTTAAAAATGGTACTAAAATTTTGATTTTTAACTTCCTAAACAAGGACTTAGGTAATCAATAAATGTGAAGGATGATATGTGTGATTTCACATTTTTCATGTCAAATTAACAGAGAGTTTCAAGTTGAGTGACTGACTTGAAACCGAATGAAGTTTAGTAATTTAGCTTTATCTAGTACAAAGAAGAAGTAAACAAAAAGAAGATAAATCCCCTGATTAACTAAAGGGAAAAAAATAAGGAGAGATTTTGACCTGGCAGAAAAAGCAAGAGAGGAGAGTCTTTCAATCGAGCGCCGCACTCTAAAGGCGAAAACCACCGAGGCGGTCCACCGTCCGATCTGGCAATCAAATCTCTCGAAAGTTCCAAGTAATCTCTTAAACTCAAACCTCCACTCTGCGACTCATCTTCTCTTATATTTGCCGTCGAGTTCTTGTTCTTGAAGGTTCCATTATCCCAAACGGTCGGAGCTCTTTTCCGTTGCTCTTGCTCGGTCAAAATAACTGACTCTACTGCTCTATTCGTTACCGATGCAAATACCGAGAGTTTCGGCCTTACGTCGGCCGGAAATATGTTACTCCGAAGAATCGGAGAGAAACCGGCGGCACAGACGCCGGTTCCGGTGGCTGCCATGAGATTTTATTGTTTCTATATTCTGTCTTTCTTCCTCAAGTGGTGACGGTTTGAATATACTGGCAAAGTTGAAAAGTTGTTCAATTTTTGTAGTGTAATGATGGGAAAATTATGACTAAATTATAATGGCCAATCATACCACTTTATTAGTACTAAGAAAGGGGGCGAATTGCAGCGGAGGTCCCTAAATTATACATTTATTTGTAAATAGATAGATAATTTGACCCTTAATTCCGGGTACGTACTTCAACCTTTTATTTTTGTGGGAAATTTTCAATATTGAGCAAATAAAAAGTAAGTTGAAGTTAGAAGACATTGTGATATATTGTCCCTATATTTTTCAGTTTCTATGCGTGATTGGCTCTATCTTAGCCAATCCTCGAAATTTCGTGGAATCTTGGAACTACTGATGGAAAGAGTACCAAGTTTTACTCCCCCACCGCCAACTAAAATCCTATTATGGATGAATTTAATTATGTAAAGTAATTTGGCAAAGATATTTTGTGCATTGTTATTTACGTAATGCTGCTGTATACAAATCGAGTAAGATGTAAAATGTATCTATCTCCACTTTGTACATATAACATTATTGTTATTATTTATGAGATTGGTAATTGAAGTATCCCAATTTAATAATATCAAATAAGATCATAAAAAATAAGTACACCGCTAAACTTACAAATTCACAAGAGAGCTATAGTATTAGTGGTATTTGCCTCAACTTCTCCATGTATAAGCCAACCAATGATGCAAAGGTGGTTATGGGATTCATTAAGAAGTACATATTCAATAGATATGGAGCACCTCAAGCTATGATAAGTGATGGTGGAACTCACTTTTGCAATCGATTATTAAAGGCAAAGCTTCACAAATATTTGGTACAACATCGAATAACTACACATTATCACCCTCAAACAAGTAAACAAGTTGAAACTTCAAACAGATGACTAAAAAGAATATTGGAACTCATTGTAAATGCATCTCTCAAAGATTGACTAAAAAATTAGACGATGCATTGTGGGCTTGTCGCACCACTTTCAAGATACTAATTGGAGTGTCACCGTACTGGATGGTGTTTGGAAAAGAGTGGCAATTACCAGTAAAATTCGAGCACAAAGCATATTGGGCACTGAAGTAGCTGAATAAGGATTTATAAAAGTCCGGGGAACAAGAATACTATAATTACATGAATTAGAAAAATTCAGAAGAGAGGCCTATGAAAGTGCCGCTATCTATAAAGAAAGAATAAAGTTATGGCACGATTGGAACACTCAGCAAAGAGTTTTCAGGGTTGGGATCGAGTTCTCTTAAACAACTCCAAATTGAAACTTTTCCCAAGAAAGCTGAAATCGAGGTGGTCTGAACCTTCCACAATATCTCAAATATTCCCTTATTGTACATTAAATTGTATCATCTAAAAATTTCAAGGTGAATGGGCAACGTGTCAAATATTATGTCGAGGACTTTTCTACAGCGAAAGACACCTTTGAGATCATTGTTCCACCCCTAAAATTCGTCCACCATCAAAAATCATACCAAAAATCTATCCAAATACGTGGGTGCTTGATATAAGGTTCTCTTCAACGAGGATTTTGCTCAAGTTTTAGGAAAACAACATTCGACACAACTTTGTGGTTGTAAGTCTTACATATATTCATAATTTCTTCAATTTTGGGTGTGTTGGTGAGAATTTGTGGAAGTTTATTACATCATCCTTGATTGGGAAGAAGTTGGGACTTTTGATTTCGGGTTGTTGGTAGATTATTGATAGAGGCTTGATTTGGGAAGAAGTAGGGGATTTGATTTTCAATTTTGGAACTTTACAGTTGTGCTTATAAAGTAATTGTAAAAAATCCTAGGAGAAAGTCTACATTTTTGTAGTGGAATTTGGTTGTCAAATTTGGGACACATTCGAATTGAGGGTTGGAATTGAAGTCATTATCATGGTTGAGATTGAGATTGATTGAGTTCATCGAAGTATAGTGTGAAAATGCCTCCAAAAAGAGCTAGAAACACAGCCTCATCTTCTGTCTCTTTCAATAGGACAAAATTTGTTAGTGTAGAGGCAGCAAAGCGATACAACACTATGGTTGTACATAAGAATTGTACCCCAAAAAGGGGCTTTCACGATTTTATGAAAGAGCATATAGAACAGCAAGGGTGGGATTTGTTTACAAAACAACCAAGAGCGGCATTAATATCGGTGGTAAGGGAATTTTATGCTAATCCTAAGAAGCACAAGAACTGCCAAGTGTTTGTGAAGGGTAAATAGATTGCTTTTGATAGAACTTCAGTTAATAGGTCCTATAATCTTCCGAATGTGGATGAAAATGATTATTCAATGTTTTGTGAAGAGAATATTGATCCCTATGAAATACTTAGAGTCTTGGCTAAACACGAAACTACTTGGAAACAGACTGAGACCAATGTGATGAATTTTCCTATTTTAGGTATGATTTTGGAGTGTAAACCGTAGCATCATGCACAAATGAACGTGCAATCTTGAATTATGATATTCAGTACGACATGTCAATAGATATTGGTCAGGTGATTCATAATAGCATCGTGCACACTCAAGGAGTTCAACCACTGGTAGCATATGGTATCCAACCTTGATTTACGAGTTATGCCAAAAGGGAGTATTGTGACACACCTATCTAAAGAAGTGGTACACTTCAAACTATCCCTCACACGTATAGAACTTCAAAGTTTGTGAGTAGACAAGACTATACTAGTAAACCACCTTCTATGGGGGGAAGAACGACCATCCCGATCACGCCGACCTCCCCAGTTAGTGATACAAGCATTGACCTTGTTATTCAGTTTCAAGTGATTCAACTAGAATTCTATGTATGAGCACTTCCACTAACAGAATGAGTTAATGCTGTATTAGCTTCTATATACTCAGATAGGGCATTTCCTCAACTTCCATTACTCCCTGATTACACAGCCAACTGAGTCCCACCTCACCACGACACCTCAGACGATGGAGGTAATTAATGTCTTCACTTAGGTAAGTCCTCCTCCTCTTTTTTACTTTAACAACATTGGGGACAACATTTGATTTTAGTTTGGGAGGAGTGACATTAATTGCTGATTTGATTAGTTACATAATTGCTTCTATGTTATTTGTGTAAAGTGTTTTGATTGAGTTTGTGTGAATAAAAAAAGATTTGTTGCATACCTATGTGAGATAGATAGCCTTATAGACCAAGATGTATATACTTGAAAATAAGTATTAGTTTGTGTATTGTGAATAAGTTGTGCTTTCGTTGAATTTTTTGCTTATTCATGTAGAACGTAACACTGTTTTATACACGTAAATTGAGTTTAGCGTTGTACAAGAATAAGTTCGTTCATACTTATTATATGTTGAAATAGAGGATTTAGATGTTCAATCCCATAATCTATTATTAATTATATCCTTGAACATTTTATAGTCTAATATTGGGGATTTTCGAGCCCGTGAAAGAGATGATTTATACTTGCTGTTGTTGACCCTTGAAAATGAACCAACAGATGTCGGGTCCACTCACGCCAGGTTTAGTACAAATTCGACACATTCCTACTGGAATATCGACGGAAGCAAAGAGGAAATGGACGCGGGATGTACTTTGTGACGAAAGACAAGAATATTCAAGTTTCGACGGATGAAACAAAAGCAATCACGCTAAAAACAATCGCCGGGTTGAAATCAGACTAATCTATGCAATAACAAATGGGAATATATGGAAGGATAGTTGAAATACGAATATGAATTACTATCTTGTATGTTGAGATTTACAACCCATAAGCATATAAAGAAGATATAAAATAAGCTCAAATGTTCGTATATTTCCTTCTTGAGTTCAAGTGTGTAGTTCGAGTATATA